CGGCAACATGCCTCCCCGCCCCACCAGCAGCTGCTGCCGCACCACAGCACCGAAGTGAGCTGCGACTCCAGCGGAGACAGCAACAGCGTGAGGGTCAAAATCAACCCCAGGCAGCTGTCGTCCAACAGCCACCCCAAACACTGCAAGTACAGCATCTCCTCCAGCTGCAGCAGCTCCGGGGACTCGGGGGGTGTCCCCCGGAGAGCGGGCGCCGGGGGCCGCCTGCGCAGGCAGAAGAAGCTGCCCCAGCTGTTCGAGAGGGCCTCCCGCCGGTGGTGGGACCCCAAGTTCGACTCGGTGAACCTGGAGGAGGCTTGTCTGGAGCGCTGCTTCCCGCAGACCCAGCGCCGCTTCCGGTACGCGCTGTTCTACATGGGCTTCGCCTGCCTGCTCTGGAGCATCTATTTTGGGGTCCACATGAGATCCAAACTGATTGTCATGGCAGCCCCCGCTCTGTGCTTCCTCGTGGTGTGTGTGGGCTTCTTCCTGTTTACCTTCACCAGGCTGTACGCCCGGCATTATGTGTGGACCTCGCTGGTCTTCACCCTCCTGGTGTTCGCTCTGACCCTGGCTGCCCAGTTCCAGGTTCTGACGCCTCTCTCAGGACGTGTTGACAGCTCCAATCATACTCCCGCAGCGAAGTCCACAGTCACTTGCTTATCTCAAGTGGGGAGCTTTTCCATGTGCATCGAAGTGCTCTTTTTGCTCTACACCGTCATGCACTTACCTTTGTACTTGAGCTTGTTTTTGGGAGTGGTGTATTCTGTTCTTTTTGAGACCTTTGGCTATCATTTCCAAGATGAAGACTGCTTCCCCTCACCCGAAGCAGGGCCCGGGCACTGGGAGCTGCTGAGCCGAGCCCTGCTCCATGTCTGCATTCATGCTATTGGGATCCACCTCTTCATCATGTCCCAGGTGAGATCCAGGAGCACCTTCCTCAAGGTGGGACAGTCAATTATGCATGGGAAGGATCTGGAAGTGGAAAAAGCCCTGAAAGAGAGGATGATTCATTCTGTGATGCCAAGAATCATAGCTGATGACTTGATGAAACAGGGGGACGAGGAGAGTGAGAATTCTGTGAAAAGGCATGCTACCTCCAGCCCCAAGAACAGGAAGAAAAAGTCTTCCATACAGAAGGCCCCCATAGCATTCCGCCCATTTAAGATGCAGCAGATCGAAGAGGTCAGTATTTTATTTGCAGACATTGTGGGCTTCACCAAGATGAGTGCCAACAAGTCTGCTCATGCTCTGGTGGGTCTCCTCAATGATCTGTTTGGTCGCTTCGACCGGTTGTGTGAAGAGACCAAGTGTGAGAAAATCAGCACCCTGGGAGACTGCTACTACTGTGTGGCAGGGTGCCCCGAGCCCCGGGCCGACCATGCCTACTGCTGCATCGAAATGGGCTTGGGCATGATAAAAGCCATCGAGCACTTCTGCCAGGAGAAGAAAGAAATGGTGAACATGCGTGTGGGGGTTCACACGGGGACTGTCTTGTGTGGCATCTTGGGCATGAGGAGGTTTAAATTCGACGTGTGGTCCAATGACGTGAACCTGGCCAATCTCATGGAGCAGCTGGGAGTGGCTGGCAAGGTTCACATTTCCGAGGCCACTGCAAAATACCTAGATGATCGGTATGAAATGGAGGATGGGAGAGTTACTGAACGCCTAGGCCCGAGCGTTGTTGTTGACCAGTTGAAAGGTACGTGTATTTCTTTGCCTAGTCATTTCCCTCCCTAATCCTGTTTGTGTTGAAAAAAACAAAACAAAAACACAAACCAATCTCTTTCTAGCATCAGTATCTGTTTCTGGATACCTTACTGAGAGGGCATCTCAGAGCCAGTAGGACTTTTCCTCCAATGAGTCAAATATCACAGATTTGTTCACACTGTGGCAGTGCTGACCTAGGTGAGACCATAGAAGGAAGTAGAACTTTGAAAATGTACCTCCTTGCCAGTTGGCTGTTAATATTTCTGAAATTCTGGGGGCAGGCCTGATGAATGTCAGGGTACCTTCGAAGCCCTGCAATCAGAACTTTGAAGCACTTTAAGAAGTTGCCTTTGCATTTCATTTGGTCACCCTTAAGTCCCATCAAAACGTTTTCTTGTGTCCTTTTCCAACAATGTGAAGAAGAAAACATTTCTCTTGTCTAGGCCTCCCTTTGCCGGGACAAGGAAGTCAGCTCAGCCCTGTAGGACTCTGACAATTAGATGGAATCATGTACTCCTAAGTGTACACTCCCTTTGCCTATGTCTCTTTTTTAAAAAAAAATTTGCATTTTCAGCTTTCAACTTTAACGATGCTTATCATGGAATTTGTATTATCATGGAATTTGTATTATCATATAGACTACAGTATTTTAGAATGTTGAACTTCTCAAACCATCAGGTGACTTGAAAGTGAGCAGTGCACTCAGCAATATTTAGACCCCCTTCCTCCAGCCCCTCAGATTAGTATCTGGTCCCTTGTCCAAGTCTTAAGTTCCTTACTGCTGTTCTTGATGTTTTCACTGGGCTTCTTTAATTTTATTATTTTCATACAGGACAAAAATATTTGAAGTCTAGGAAGTGATATTTAAGTAAGTGGGAACAAAAGTAAGGATTCTAAATAACATTTTCAAAAAATAGTCCTATGTTTTACTAAAATCTTCCAGATTGAAGGAGCATCTACTTAGGTAGTATGTAGAGAAAATCACATTGATTTTTAAATGCCTAAATCAGTAAAACTATATTATATGTTTTATTGTGCCCACATGTTGCATAATTACACAGTGAAAAGCCTCAGGAAAGGGAATCCTCAGAAGGAGAAGTAACAGCTCAAATCAGAGATGGGAGTAGTAATCAGAGACAGTACATGGTTGAGTTTGAGGGCCTGAATAGGTTGTCAGCCTTCAGACAATTCTATATGCTCAATTGATATTTTCTTTCTCTGCTTGTGATCAGAGTTCCCCACATCATTCACTTATCGGTTATCTGGCCAGGGTGCTTTATCCTTCTCCTGATTTTTCTTTATTAGAACTTTATTAGAAGTTGTGTTTCTTGGGCAGTCCTGTAGGTAATTTTGCTAGTAGTTGAATAATGATGTAGTAGAAGAACATTTTCACCTGATAATTACCTCTACCTAGAGCAGTGGTTCTCAACCTTGGCTGCACATTAGAATCACCTGGGAATCTTGTTAAAATCCTGATTTCTGGGCCTCATCATTAGTAACAAAGAAACAGAATTTCCGGAGGATGAGGCCCAGAACTCAGGATTTTAACAAGGTTCCCAGGTGATTCTAATGTGCAGCCAAGGTTGAGAACCACTGACCTCGAGAGTTTTAAATGCTACATTGATGAGGTCAGAAACTACACTTCCCAGTTCACTTGAGAGATTCTTCCATGACAAGTGTTTTTCCCTGTAGGAGAGTGGCTCTCGCTCTCGACTCTGAAGGTGCCAGTGGAGTGGGGTGCAGATGTAATTACTGCTAGACATTTTGGCATCTTTCGGCTCTGTCCTCAGAAATAGTGGGATAGATTCCAGAGAATGGAGCTGTGCTATACTGTGTAAAATTAAGTATGATAATGACAGCAATTCTGTCAGTGATACTTTGAACAGGGTATTACTTGAATTTCAAAAATAAGAACAGATGTAATCATTAAGTATGTCTGGAAATTGCCAAGTCTTTGAATTTTTGGCAGTACCCAAATTAACAAAAAATTTTTGTTGATTTATGGGTAATTTTATTTTCAGTTTATGGACCAAGGGTCTAAAGACGCAGGCAAAAAAATATAGAATGGGTTTGTTGATTTTTTTAAAAAAACTTCAAATAGTGTATGTAAATTTGGTAAATTCCCTTTTTCTCTAAATTGTGTGTATTATGTATTTATAAGGAAAAGTTTTAGTACTGGATGGAAGGTAGGGAAAGACAAGGCTTAGCTAAACCAGTGATTTCTTTACATGGTATTCCCTCCTTTAACTGTTTCCCTGAGACCATGAATTTTGCTGTATTCAGCTTATTTGGAAAATCTTTGTGGACAGGACTCCACTAATAGAGGATGTCTACACAACTTCCTGCCCCTTTTTGAAATTGCACAGTTCGATTCTCCAGACGTTCAAATCTGCCAAATTGAGATGATCACATGGTGTGTAGAAAACGCTTTTCATACATGAGGTTAAGGTTATAAATGTAAGATTTCTTTTAGCCTGTCTTTGGATTTGTGGTAGATATTTTTTTTTATGTAATGTTGGGCATTAGCCTTTCCCTCTCATCCCCTTTTCAGAATATGGGGTTAAAAATACCCAGTAGAGGGCTCTGTAGAAATGAACATGGGTAGAGTAAACTGGGGATTCCTGAACTAGCCTGGCAGCGTGAAAGGAAGCTACTCCTCTATTTTATCCAAACAGGCTTTGTGGAAGGTGGACTTTGATTATTTATGCACATTCACTCACTCCTTGGAAATCTTTATTGTGCTCTTACAATGCACCTGGCCCTGAGGATGCACAGATGGAGTCATGACAGTTCCTCACCTCCTCGAGCTCACAGTTATAAATGTTATAGAGTATGTAGAGTCAGGAACGCTTTAGGGAGGTGCATGAACTTGGGGTGAGTTTTGAGATTGAGCAGTGGCTCTCCAGGTAGATAGAAGCAGAACATTTGGTGCAGTGGGAATAGTATGGGCAAAGGTTTGAGGTTGTGTTTCTTGGTGGGTTGGGCAATTGTAAGTAGTTCATTAGGACAAGGAAGGTTGTGGGTCACTTGGGAAGGGGTTTGGATTCAGTCCTGTAGGTAATGGGGAGCCACTGATAGGTTTTATGCAGGAGGCTTAAGTGATCTGATTTGCAGTTTTAGAAAGCTAACTCAGTTCCAGGGACTGTATTAGAAGGTATGAGACTGGAAATTAGTAAGCTGTTTCAGTAAATCCAAGCAGGACTGATGGTAGCTTGAGCCAAGGTAACAATAGTGGTGATGGAGATGATGGGAGAGATATGAGAGTAGTAAGATCAACTTGATAGACTTGGAGCCTGGTTTAAACAGACAACTGGGGGAGGCAAGGGGCTTGATGGTTTGAATGGGAAATGACATTTCAAGTTTCTGGAATTGACTTGGGGACAGTTTTAAGTCAGGAATGGGTGAGAGGCCTTTGAAGTGTCTATGGTTTGGTGGAGAATGCAGGACTGAGTTGCAGAATATGACAGGCCAGGAACCCCTGGCTTGTTCATTCATTCATTCATTCAACAAATAATTCATTTTGTGCTGGGCACAGTTCTAGGTGCTGGGGATACAGCAGTGAATACAGCAGACAAAAATTCCTGCCTTTTGGTTGTTCCGCTCTAATACTGCAGTCAGACAGTAAACAAATAAATAAAATATAAAGTTTGTTTTATGTTAACTTCTAAGGAGAAAATATAAAGCAGGAAGAAGGATATGGAATATGTATTTGTGTGTGTGTATAATTTTAGATAGGGTGGCCAATCACTGAGAGAGAAGGTAGCAAGAATTTTCAGGACTAGGAATTTGGAAATTATCCCAAAAGTGAGGAGCAGTTATTATTAAAAACAGGGAGAAATAATATGATTTGAGTGATGGGAGCAGGGCCCTTCCACACCATTTGGGATGAACCACTGGACCCTGTTCTATTCTGCCTTGGGCCACAAGCAAAAAGATGATGTGTTTGTCTAGAACTTTTGGTTTTTCCTATTATAGGTTGAGTCACAAAGACCAAAGGTGAAACTGTCAGAGAATGCTTCCAGACATCTTATTTCTCCCCTCTTAAATATTAGGAAGATAAAACAAACGTGCTCAGTCACTCCACCCACAATCATGGTTTTATAGAAGAGGGGAGAGTTTTTTTGAAAACAGGAAGGGAACTGTCTAGTATGCTCTGCTGAGGTAAGAGAGGCTCATTCCTTTGGAATAGGCTGGAAGGTCAAGTTCCCCTCCCCCCAAGGCTGATGGTGGTGGCAGCAATAGTAGAACCAGAGGGTGGAAGCTGGGACAGGACAGATTTGAGAAGGTGTTGGAATTCTGGGATTGTAATGGTCAGGAGTAGCCCTGACTGGTTTATGAGTCTTTTTCCACAAGCCAGTGGTTCTTAAACTTTTTGGTCTCAGGACCCCTTTATACTTCTAAAAATTACTATGGAAGCTAAAGAACTTGTGTTTATGTAAGTTATATATTGATACCTTATTAGAAATTGAAACAGAAGATTCAAAAGTCTTTCCTTGACTCATTTAAAAATAATAAGCCCATTGTACCCATTGCATGTTAATATAAATAACATATTTTATAAAAATAACCAGATTAAAATATTTTTAAAGGTATTTGTGCTTTAATTTTATTATTTTTTGTTAATCCTCACCCAAGGATATTTTTCCATTGAATTTAGAGAGAGTGGGAGGGCAGGGGAGAGACAGAGAGAGAAAAACATCAATGTGAGAGAGACACATTGATTGATTGCCTCTTGCATGCACTCCAACTAGGGCCAGAGATTGAGCCTGCAACCAAGGACGTGCCCTTGGCAGGAATCGACCCCAGGACCCTTCAGTCCGCAGGCTGACGCTCTGTCTACCAAGCCAAACCGGCTAAGGCAAAAAAATATTTTCATAAACAAAGAAATTTGGTGAGAAGAGTGGTACTATTTGACATTTCTGCAGATCTCTTTAATGTCTGTATTAATCAAAGACTGGATTTTTAAAAAACTGTGGTAAAATACACGTAACA